ATTGCCAGCACTGTTATTTGTTCTCATTTTATTAAGTCTGTTTTTACAATAGGTATTTGAGATAACTACTCTGATGGCTATTTCTCCAGATGTCTGGTTTAAATATACCATAAAACATGCTGGGTGGTGTATCCACTAACACCATATAGTGATGAGAGTAGCAGATTAACGTTAAACAATGTGTTAAAGGAGAAAATGTTTCCAAATTACATTTTCTAGGGTTAGTTGCAACCACCAGAAACAATTAAAATTTCAATAATTAAAAAAGGATTTCCTTCCATATGCTGTTTACTTTTCCCCTTTATTCAGTTTTAAAATTCCAGGATACTTTCATAGTAAGGATATCCAGGTTTGGTGCTTCTGATGCTGTGCAATGGAGGGAATATGTTTGTGCTTCCAGAGCTGGGAAGGAATCACAGATGTTCTGTCTCTGCTCCTTGTCCACTCTCTCATTATGCAGAGACACTCTCTGCCCTTGCATGTTAGGTTATTTTATACACAAGTGAGATGCACAGCACCATGATGAGTGTACATTGTTGTTAAAAACTAAGAACTTTCATGTTTTCAATATTCCTACGCCAAATTTGCAGCTTTGAAAATCTCTTCTGTATCCTAAACCTGAGTGTTGGACCTACACTGCCAGGAAACAACTCAGACTTTTAGCCTCTGGAAAGAGTCAATAGTCTTTAAGAACCCATAATGCTTTTTATGAAACACACTTTCATATATTCTTCTAAGCAGTATCTCTCCCTTTTTTCCCCCAGAAAAACTTTGAACACTTCATACTTTTTGTGTGCGTTGCTTGGTTGCTATCACCACTACCCTGGTTATACATTTCAGATTTGTTGTTCTGATTTAACTTTTTCTATAACTCCTAAACAAGATTCTCCAGCTACTTATTCCCTTTTCTCTTTTTTTTTTTAATTTTTAATTTTTTTACCCCGTTATTGGAAAAGTTTTTCTTTCTATCTATTCCACCAAGAATTTTTCAATAATAGTATTTGATTTCTATGATTTCCTTTTCTAGTAACTTGTCCAGAGAAAGCATACTTTGACAGATATTTCAGGCAGATAATGAGTATTTTGGAGATGGGTGATCATGTGGTACTTGAAATCCCTGCTGTAACGAGTAACAGCCTTTCCCCAACTGGTTGTGAACCATTTCACTTTGTTTAAATGTCTGTCTCAGCTTTGCAGACTCTAGAGTAGGACTGAGTTCTTCTGAAAGGTTTTCAATTAGCATGGTATTCCCAAACTATAAAAGCAGAAATGTATCAGAAAGAGGGAAAAAGATCAAACAATTAACAATTTTATTTCAAAATCCTTAAACAATTTTGGTTACTTAGCATAGCAAGAAACATAGTTTGAATGGAGCCTAACAAACTAATTTTGATAGTCCTGTGCTTGTCAACCATTGTTTTTTCTCTTTAAGTCAATACAGTGCTTTGCTTTGATTTCTAAGCAGTGAGCAGAAATAACATTTTAATTGAAAACTGAGCTTGTATATTCAACATAAGGAAAAATCCCCAAAACCCCAAGCCGGGGAGAAGAAAATGTTTCCTTTGCATTAACAGATGATGAAAAGTTTTCTTCTCTTCTCTGAGGAAACAATGATTTTCATTTCTTAGTAACCATTGTATTATGACTCCTTACAATGCTCCAGAAATTATTTTTCCTGGACTTTGGATGTTCATGTTCTTTTTAAAACCTGAGATCATGGGATGGTAGCACCTGCCACACAGGAGACTGGCCCCTGAATTTAAACTATTTGATGAAGTGGGAGCTCCTGGCATGAAGAGGGCAATTATATTGGTTGAAAAACAGCCATTTGAGACTGGACAACTGATGACTGCCTTCTGCAGATTCCTGTCAGGTGGAAGAAGGAATAGGCATTACTTTACTGAGAGGAAAGATTTCAGGGGATTAATGTCCTAGTACCAATATGAAGAGATTTGGTAAAAAGCTTTTGTCTTCTGAATTGGTAGATTTTTCTAGCTGTATTTTATTACTTCTCACTAGAGTTTAAAACCCACAAGGCTGATGCCCAAGTCAGCCAGCACCATTTGGCACCCACACCCTTCAGCAGAAATGCAGGGATTTAATGGGTAAAAGAGGGATTTTGAACTTTACAAAGGTGATCTTTTTTCTGTGATCCTTTTTCTGTCTTCTCTTACTTCATCCTGAACCTGGGTCTGGGACAGCGGCTGTCTAGTTTTCCATGCAGAGTGGCCATTTGTCATCATCTGGAGAAGCTTCCCAGCAGACAGGAATTTGGAAAGATGATGTGAGTTTGACAATGTTTCTTTCTTCCTTGACAGCTCATCAGCCTGCTCCGTAACGTTTGCAAGATATTTTCAGGACAGTGAAAGGCTATGGCATAAGATTTTCTTTAATGGATTTCACTGCTGCGGCTTATTTTCACTTGTAATAGCCCAGGCATCTCCTGAAACTCCAGTGTTTTCTTGTCAGCTTGGATGTGAAGGCAGTTAACTTTGGTGTCCCTTTTTCCTGAGCAAGTGGGCTGGACTCAGCTAAACTTTTCATCAAAGTGAACTGATTAAAAAACAGAGTTATGGGAGCTGACACTTGAGTCTGAGATTTTGGAAAGGAAAGCAGGAGTTGTTATCCACTGGTTCTTAAAATTAGTTCACTGAAGTTGTTAATTCCCGTGCTTGTGTTCTTCGGAGTGCTTCAGCTCCCTTCAGTGTGTGGTGGCTATTCGTGCCCTCACTGTTGCATGGACATGGAACAAGAGACCAGTGAAGCCATAGAGGGCATGGGGAAGCTGGAACACCTCAGAACCCATGGTTTTATACTGTGAGAGAAGGTGGGGGAATGAAGGTGCAGTCAGGTGAAGAGGAATAGGAGGAAGACAAAAAAAGAGATAATTAAGGAGTAGTTACAGTAACACAAAGGGGAGTGGATGAAATGATCATACAAGAAAGTGGAAACCCCAGACAAAGCCAGAGTAGACAAGGGACAGGGAAATTTGTCAATCCCTTCATCCTCTGCTGTGACTGCTAAGAATACCATCGTGTCTACAATGACAGAGAAAGCTTCAGTTATACATACAAACTGTGTTTTGGATATTGGAGGAGGAAGACTGTTTCTTGCCATATTTACCCATTTACTACAGAAGGAAAATTCATCCAGGATGAATTTTAGAGAATGATAATATTTTCCTCAACGGCTTTTAAAAAATATATTCTTTTGAAATGGTGTAAATTTTAGCTGATCACATGAATACAAAAATGTAGTCTACAAAGTTACAAATTTGATGCATTGAAAAACTAGAGTAGCAAATTACTTTATGCAGAGTGATGAATATGACGAACCCAATTAAAAGCTTTTATGTTTATAATGGATATGTCTTCAGAAAAACAGAACAGGTTTATTAGATCAAGTTAGAGGCTATTTTTTGCTAGTGGTAAAAGTTTTTAAGGATTTCCTGTCTTTGTAGTATTTCTCTGTGACTAGTACTTCTCAAAAAATTCTTTTGTTACTGTGCAAATAGAATAGATATAGACATTTGAAACAGGTATGTTCCATCTTCTGTATAGCAAACAGTAACAGGATCCAATACTGGTGAACAAATATAAAAACAGACCATTCTTGGATTTCTTAACACATAACTAAATAAATTGTTTTCATTTAAACCAATTCCATAGAAGAAAGATTTCATGGTGCCACTGCACATACTAGCAATTGCTAGCTCTGTGTCTTGGAGCCTCAGCATCTGAGAGGTGTGCTGGTTTTGGCTGGGATAGAGTTATTTATCTATATGGTAGCTGGTATGGGGCTGTGTTTTGGATTTGTGGTGGGAACGGTATGGATAGCACAGGGCTGATTTAGCTGTTACAGAGCAGAGATACACAGAGCCAAGGCCTTTTCTGGTTCACACACCTTTTCCCCCCACCCCACCAGTGAAGAGTCTGGGAGCACACAAGGATCTGGGAGGGAAAACAGCAGAAACAGCTGACCTTGATGACCAAGAAGATATCCCCTACCCTAGGGCACTGTGCTCAGCATATAGAACTGGGGGAAGAAGAAGGAAGGGGTGAGGGATGCTCATAGTGATGATATTTGTCTTCCCCAGTCACCATTACACATGGTGGACCCCTGCTTTCTTGGAGATGGCTGGACACCTGCTGCCCGTGGGATGTGGTGAATGAATCCCTTGCTTTGCTTGTGAGTGTAAATTTTGCCTTACTCATTAATTTATCTTTATCTCAGCCCATGAATTTTCTCACGCTTCCCATTCTCTCCCTAGCTTCTGGGAGAGTGAGTGATTGGTTGTGGGGGGGCTAGTTGCTTGCTGGGTTTAAACCATAACACAAGTTGACCTTGACTTTCAGCAATAGGCTTCTTTCATATAAATATAACTTTCCCCAGGTACCAATGGATATTCAGAAAGCACAAACAAAAAGTCAAAACCCAAATGCATGGACAAACAGAGGTCTTGTGTAATTGTATTTCAAAAATGCCACGGATGTGTTTTAAAAGTATATGACAACATGCAGGTTTTGTCCTGGTTTGATAGTATTGAAAGCTCATAACATGAACCAGGAAAGCTTTGAAGTACTGCCTCTAGACACAGCTTGTTATTGAAGAAACATATTGCTGCTGCTCAAAGAGAAATTCCTCTATTGAACTCTGCTCTAAGTTCCCCAGACAAATAAGCAGCAGCTGGACCTAACATGGGCCTTTCACATGCTGGAGAACATACCTGCTCTCACCAGCTAAGGCGGGAGCATTAATACTCTGCAGCAGCTGGGGAAACACGTGTGTGCTGCCAATTAGGAAACCTTTCAAAGTGAGGCTTTGCAGCTCATCTGTGATCTGCAGACCTCAGCTTGGGAACCATTATTCTCTACTAATGGCACCTGTGGGCCAGGAGGGATGGGAAACTGGGGTTTGAGGGAGCAGAGTCTATTAAATGCTATGGCAACAGGTAGCAAAACAGTGCTCTCCCTCTTTCCCTAATTAGTAGCTGTTAGCATCTGGAGTTGACTGTTGGTGATTGTAATTTGCTTCACTCCATCATGTGATGGTGCAAGGATCAGTGAAGGGTGATGCAAGGACCAGTCAAGAGGTAAAAGAAATATTAGGGATTAGCTTCTCTATACATACTTTGCAATGCCATATTTAAAATAAAATCATGCTCCTGGAGGCATGGGAGTAATGTAGCTGTTCTGATTGGTTTGGTTCTGTTCTTTGTGTTCTTTTGGCAGAAAATACACACTGATCTTTCCACTTGTTTGAAATTTCCAAAAAATGAAATTGCCTGTTGAAAAGAAAATTCCCATGGTAGATCTGAGTGAAATCTTTCCACTTATATGAGTGATCCAAATCCCTTGGAAAGGAGAGGTTTCAGGTAAGCTCTGGTCTTGTGGCGTGCTGATAGAGGGCTGGGGAAGTAGCCTTAGCTGTGGGGTTGCTCCTGTCTGTAGGGAGAGGAAGGTTCCACGCAATCAGTACAGTGAAGTCAATAATGAAGTCTTTCTTCTTACTAAAGTTGAATGTTTTCAGACCACCATATTAGATATGATTATTATTAAATAAATTTGACCTTTAGGGTTCAAAATTGTTTGGAGAGAAAGAGAAAGAAATGTATCTGAAGATGTAGTGTATTTGCGAACATGTTTCCTCATTTCCTAGCGAAACTAAGAAAAAAGAAGAATTTCAGTCTTAAATATTATAGTGTATAGTAATATATAGCATATATTTGGTATGTTTGAAGACAGGAGTGACGTTAGACCACTATGCTCAATTGCATTGATATTTTATGCTTCATTGTGTTAATCTTTTTCATTCAGTGCTTGGTTACTACCAAAATCCACAATTTTCTCACTGACTGGCTGGAGAGGAAAAAGGAGCTGACACTGAGAGATGACAAAGGAAAGATCTGTCAACTGAAACTCTACCCAGAACTATTTTCTGTACAAAATAAAATGGGGTGGTGAAGTACCAGAGTTTGCCAGGTATGATCCTGACATGCTACAAAAAGAGCAATCATAGTTGTGCACGTCTGGTGGTCCAAAGAATGTTCAGCCTCCTGCCTGCTTCATTAGCCAGGAGACAGCAGTACAAGTTAGTTATGTGCCTTTGTGAGGCTTTACAAAAACCTGTGCATTTTATATGATCCTAATCTGCAAAAAATTATTCATGGCTTTGTTTCTATTGTTGTAAGAAATTCCAGTTATACATACGCATATTTGCAGAATGTAGATGTCTCACGATATATGCCAAGTACAGCCCCCAGGCTGTATCAAGTTATATCAGCTCCATGTCCATCATCATTGTCAGATGGACAATGTCTATGATTTAATAAGCACTGTTCTGATTATTCATGTACTTGTGTTTTCTTTTGTTGCTTTATGTGAGTTTGAATGAATGATGCAGCAGCTCTGCAGGAACTTATATATAATGAGAAACTGTAAGAAAATAGAAATTTCTTCTAAAACCAGAAGTAATAGTTTATTTATTAAGTAAAAAATATGGGTTAATAGAAGGAGAGCTTTTCTATTTTTAACAGTGCCTGAATAGAAGTTCTAGATTTCAAACATCATCAACTTTGCAAAAATGGATTTTAATTACTCTCTTTGTTTTTAGTTTGTGTGCTAGCTTGACCCTGAAGGCCTGAAAAAGAATTAAACTATCTTTTGAAACTACAGACAAAATTATAAAAGCAATGAGATCTAAGTGATGATGGGCATTTGAAAATCTCACTAGATACCCATTTGTGTTTTTAGTCACCTGGAACAGAAATTCATCTTAAACTCTGCAAAACCAGTTGCTCATTGGGCATTTGTGACAGCAGATTTAGGGATCTGCAGGTGCACTAATAAATCAGCATAGTCTGCAGCAGCACAAATAGCTGTGTTATACAGAAGCTTTAAACTAGGGTAGGCTGAAGTCAAAGCAAAAGACTTGTAAAGCTTGAGGAACAGAAGTTCCAAAAGTACCATAGGGGAATATTTGATTAGGGGAGTTTTGGTTATTATTTCTGTTTGGTGCATATGTTTTACAAAAGATAATTTTTTTCCCCAAACCCAGATTCAGCAGTTCAGTGAATGGCAGTGGATTAAACCCTATTGACACATATGATAAAGCAATACTGAAGTAATTGCTTGGGATTCAAGCATTGTCTGTGAGACATACAGATTATAGAGGGGAGAAAAAAATTTATACAAACCACACAAAAATAGTCTTAATCACTACACTGGCTTTTAATGCCCAAATCCTTGAGAAGGAGAAGAATGGAAGACAAAGGGCATATGAAAAGAAGGTGAAATAACACAAAATTAATCCTTATGTTTTCCCTTATCTCTAAGTCCTGCCTGTCATTTTTCTACTTAAAAACGTGTTTTTTAAGTACCAATTCATTCAACAGATACATGATACATATATCAAATGTAGCCTAATGCTTTGCAGGACTAAGATATTCCCAGTTGCAGAATTTTACTGGCTGAGATTATATAAATTCATTTGTACTGCATTTTTAGCTCAGTGGCCCACTATACTTGCACTACTTTTATAGCCTGTAAGAACAGCGACACTCATTTTATGAGAATGAGCTTGTAAATCACTTACGTTTTAAGTTCAGTGTTTTCCCTTGGCATTCTTCTCTGACAGATCAGACAGAGATGGGCCTTGAGGGCTCTACTTCACCTCTTAGTCCCTAAGAGCACTGCTGGCATGTTGTTGGTTTTTCTTTGCCTGCATGTTTAAGATAGTTCTTCTGAACGTCCAGTCATTGTCACTGGGCAGTGGTCTTTAAAATTCATGCAGAAAGCAATTATCTCTTGCCTGGAATGACATACAAGTTTGAAAAGCAATTTTGGATTTCCTTCATTAATATATTATGATGTGGGTTTTAAAAATCCTATTTAAAAGGAAACCAGATTAGTGAAAGACAAAGAAAATATCTCAAAATCTGGCATGCATTTACTTTATCTGTAAAGGGTTTACTAAAAGATGAAGTTTTATCAATATCCAAGGTGTCAGTCATACCAAACACTGAAAGACAGAGAACAGTCCAAGGTAGAGAAAATTTGCTAGTTGTAAAACTTTAAATAAGAACATTTATTGTTATTTTAATTGAGAGGTACTTAGACTATTTTTTGCTTCTTTTGTGAAGGTAAATATACAGAAACTTAGCCAGGTTGTGCAGTGCGGTATTGCTTCTTATGTCTACAAATTCTTTAACAAAGAGGATTATCCTACCTTCTAATTTGCTTTGTGTGTTATTTTACAGATGGAAATGAACAATCTGTGTTGTAATTTAACCAGAAAGGTACAGCTGTCTGTATATGGGGGTAAATATATGATAAACTTTCAAGAGGAGCACGCACGTAGTCAGTGTGAGAGTGGTACTGGTCATTTATTACCATTTATTACCATTGATTTACTGCACAATTTTGATATGTTCTGTACTGCAGTTGTTGGTAGATAAGCAATGACATCATGAATTTTGACGCACAAAGGCATGAGCATTTTTATAGGGAAGTATTGTGGTTATTACAATCTTAGTATATTTATTGAGTACTAGAAAAAGCAGGAATAGGAGACCTGTAGCAGGGCTCAGTCAATCTGGAAAGTCAAATTCTGTCATTTTGAAGAATTTTAATGGCACAGAGAAGTGATGAAATCACCCAAAAATATCTAGACATGGCACTTGGGGACACAGTTTAGTGGTGAACACAGTGGTGCGGGGTTAACAGCTGAGTTCTGTGCCCTTAGAGGCCCTTTCCAGCCTTAATGATTCTCTCTTGAACTCCAGGGACAATTTCTTGCATTCCATTTACTTGATCTTATTATTTATTTTTAAACAGAAATGAGAAGAAGCAGAACAGTTGTTTGTTAGCATTATTGTGTGGCTGTAAACATTAGTGTTCACTGAGGATAGCTATGAGGAGTAGCGAAGCTGTGTTGAGCAGGACCTGAACACGCTGTCATCTCTGCTGCATCAGCCAAAATAAAACCACGTGCCTTGTGTGTGTGGGGGGAGAGGAATTTGCTGCTGCAAGAGTCTCTTCATGACAAGCAGGGATGGCTGGAGAGGGATGAAGGAGAGAGAAGCAGCGCCAAGTGAAGCGATCAAGTTTTGAGTGTACAGCCCCAGAGGAGCTCTCAGAGAGAGCTTTGTGGCTGGATGGGAACAGAGGTGGCTCCTAACATTTCCTGAAGAGCATCCCTCCAGGGAAGCAGTGCCCAGGCTGGGCTTTTGCTCCAGCTGCTGTGCCAAAGGTGGATACAGCTGCAAGTGTAGTTGAGCTCATCACAGTCAGGGGAAGAACAAGTGCTGAGACCACAGCAAATCTGCTGGGGCCTTCTTGATGAGTAAGGCTGGGTTACTTCACAAGTGCAACGGCCCTGAAGTGGAGGTTTGTTTCTCTTGACACATGGTAATTTTAGTGCCTTTGGAAACTTTTAGAGTTTCAGGTAACTCTGACTTAAAATGGAGCCACTGGCAGATTTTCAGCACACCTGGGTATGTGGTGATGTTTTCAGGCAGCCTGTATGATTTCAGGCAACCTGCATGATTTCAGTTGATGGTCAACACAGCACAGCAGACATGACCATCCATTCTTCCTGCAGGCACTGTGCTGCCTCCAAGGGCCCTCATGTATATTCATAAAATTATAGAATCATTTAGGTTGGAAAAGAACCTTAAGGTCATTGAGTCCAACTGTTACCCAGCGTGACCAAGCCCACTGCTAAATCATGCCTCTGAGCACGTCATCTTAACATCTTCTAAATACCTCTAGGGATGACAATTCCACCACTTTCCTGGGCAGCCTGTTCCAATGTTTGACAGCCCTTTCAGTGAAGAAATTTTTCCATATCCAATCTAAACCTCCTCTGGTGTTACTTGAGGCCATATCCTTTTGTTCTGTCACTTAATACTTGGGAAGAGAGACCCATGTTGTTTCATTCACCTCATTGCTAAGAAGCGCAGTACTTTTTCTATTTCCATCCTGCTGCAAGCCATCTGAGCTGCCAAAAAGTCTGATATCCATCCCAGAAGCACTTACCCCATTGCTACCAAGGACTTCTTTGCATTTGTCCTGTTGGTAAGTGGTCTGCAACATGCTCATCTGTAAGAGTATCATGCAGACTTTAATGAAAGGTTTTGGGGCTGAATGAGGTTTTCTGTGTCCACTCTGACCTCCCTGCAGCAGTGCAGGCAAGCAGGCTGAGGCTTGCAAGACCAAAAGTAGATGGATGATGTGAGAAGCAGAGCAACCCATGGAGCTCACAGCAAGGGAGTAAAGCAATTAGCTCATTTCAGGGACTTTTCAACTGGTGCAAGCTACATTTTGTAGTTAAGTGCTTGAAAACACTTTTGTGGGACCAAGTCATTCCCCAGACTTGTAATGATAGACACTGTGGTGTTAGTTTGCAGAATGCAAAATGGAGCCAGATGACTTCTGGTTGAGAAGATACTTTGCCTTCATTTTGGGTTCCCATCAAGGTCTGTTTCTCAGCACATATCCTCTCTGCAAGGTAGCCACATTATACAATTAAGGCACAACAGTTTGGCATCAGCTAGGACCAGCATCATAGCAGAGACCTGCAAACCCATATGCCATCTGTTCTGCTCTCTTCAAAGTTTTTGGCTTTGTTATAGTTTTGGCAGTCAACTCAAAAAGGAAATGGTTATTGAAATCTGAACTCAAATTTCTTGCCAGCAGACCACTGCTGGCTTATCCTTGAAAAACTCAAACAATCTCTGCTCTGTTCCCGAGCAGTGTAGGTGTAATGGGGATAAAATCACTTTGTGGTATTACATGAAGTGAGTGGCCATTTACTTGTACCAGCAGCGCTTTTGTGACAGGACTGGGAAGATTCATGCAGCCCTCAGACTGGAGGAGGTTAATAGTAAGGAAAGGATATCACCAAGTCAAGAGAACAGAAAAGCTGTGGAGGTAGAAATGTTGTTAATGCAGACTGAAATAAAATCCAGACAAATCTGTGAAACCTTTTCCTTTTCCATTTGTCTCAATACTCTCCATGTTTATGCCTCAAGGAATCACCTTATACATCTCTTTATATTATACTTCCATCAAAAGTGAAGGGTATTAATCAGTCATCTGTAACAAACATGAAAATTGAATAATTAATGACAGATTAGAAGATTGAGTTTTTGTCTTCAGTCAGTCCTGGACATCTCTGGGTCTTTCCTTTGTTTTTTCCTGTTTTGCACATGTATGTTTCATTTTGTACTTAATTTCTCTCCAACCAAGAGGATAGAAAACAGTAGAAGTAGAAATATTGATAGTGCAGACTGAAATTAAATCCAGTCTCTTGCTATACAAGGGGTCTCTGTATTGCTAACATGGTCTACAAGATCCTCACCCAAGTCACAGGTTTCTCTTTTTGGCTGCTAGGTTTTTTAGCCTGA